AGAGTTTTAGATACGCGTTTACGTCGAATGCAAAACGTCAAAACTGATCATGTGATCACAGTTTTTCTCTATTAACTCTCCATTCTTTCGCGATTTAAAACTTTGTTGTTGTTAGATATCTCAAAGATTATTTTCATACAGCAATGAAGTCAAAATGCATAGCAGCCATATTTCTAATAAACTGTATCGCACTTTTGATCAAAACTGGACGCTCTGGATCAGGAGACCAAGTCAATAACAAGAAAACAATAACCTTGCAAACAATGCAAAACAACTCTGCGAGAAGACAAAGGAGTTAGGGCAATGCTTGCGTCATGTCGTAAACAATCAACAATCAGCTTTTTATCAAAACGGCAAAAATAAAAACGCTGGATCAGGAGACCAAGTCAATAACAAGAAAACAATAACCTTGCAAACAATGCAAAACAACTCTGCGAGAAGACAAAGAAGTTAGGGCAATGCTTGCGTCATGTTGTAAACAATCAACAGCTAACAAAAGAACGATTTATGGAAATATCACACGTATTGTTTAACTTCGACGCCACCATAACCCACGCCAAAACAACTTAAAACAACTTTGCGAGGAGACAAAGAAGCTAGGGCAACGCTTGCGTTAGCCGTAAACAATCAACAGCTAACAAAAGAACGATAAATGGAAATATCACACGTATTGTTCAACTTCGACGCCACCGTAACCCACGCCAAAACAACTTAAAACATTTCTTTTATGCCTACGATTGTAATAACGCGTGGTGGATTGGTGTCGTCTTTAAGTTACTAAAACATCAAATAGCATTCGAGTAGTCTTTTGATTGAGCTTGTCATTATTTTGCTATAAGAAAAACAACGTTTTATGTCTCTCATTTATGCTTAACTTATAACGAGTGCGCAAGATCAGTTGTTAAACTCTATGTGTTTCAGTCCATCAATAATGCTATTTCTCCAAGCAAGGAATAAGAATGGTCAAATTATTCCCTTAGTCGATCTGTGGCATTTATTGGAAGTGTATTTCAGCTGCTAAGCCTAAATATTCAGGGAATGTATAAAAAAGCTCCAGATACGTCCAAGTACACCTTTAATTAAGAAGAAAAAAACTATTATTTAGATTAAAAGAAATTGGGGGCAAATAAAATAAATTCTTTTTTTCTAAAAGATTCACAAGCGTATGTTGTTCTTTTAAAGAGTTTTCTTACATTTTTAAAATATATATTGTGGCCATACAAGTTTATTAAAGCTCCCGCGCGTGTGAAATAACAACAATAATTTTATTAGTCTTAATTTAATTAATGAAACATAACAATCTCTTTAGCATCCGCGGGATAATTATTGCTTGCATTAAAAAGTGAATAAAGAGAAAAGATTAATTTGTTTTCAAAACTAAAGACAATTTTGTGTGTGTGTGTGTGTTAGAACGGTGAGAAAAGTGCGTACAGAGCAAACAATAAAGTTACCCTTGGGGATTAACTGCTAATTCTTTTGTTCTTGGAACTGTATTGTTTATAGAACAATGTAATGGAGCCTTGCATTTTGTAAACAGCTTTTTCTAGAATCTTGAAATTGCCAAAATCAGTTTGAAACTTTACTTAGGCATTATATGCATGTTTTGAATGCCGTTGTGACTTCTCAAGTTCGCCGCCATTTTCAGAATACTGATAATCAAAGTGAATGAAGCCAAGGTTTCACTCATCGCATCAACGAGTAATTAATCAAGGTTGTATATTTTTTATACTCTGAAGATTGGTGTTATAAATCCGCCATAATCTAATCTAACACGACACCACTTAGCAATTCTAACACGTCTATTAGACTTTTGTTTTCTAAAGGWCTTCGCACTTTAGTATTGTTTGCATTGTTTTCTTTTGAACGACGTTTGCTTACAGCTTCAGTGCTATTGTTATGACATGATATAAACGATGAATATCAATTAGTTACAGGATTATAAAACAGCTCGATTGAGACACTAGGATTAATCACTTCTACAGTA